AGACAGACAGACAGACAGACAGACAGACAGACAGACAGATAGATAGATAGATTGATAGATAGACAGACAAATAGATAGATAGACAGACAGACAGACAAATAGATAGATAGATCGTTATAGTAAATAAATAGTTAAAATAAGTTAAATTAAATTTAAAATTACATTTCCCATCCTTGTTGTAACCTTGGTCTTGCTACAGATCACATTATTAAACTATATGCTAAATAGAAACAAGAACTATAGTAAGTTTATTTGTCTACTAAAAGTTAAGGAATTAACAAATAACTAATTAATTATTATTATTTTTTATGATTATTTTTTTGTATGTTTTTTTTATGACTTGTGAATCTTATCTGGACACTCTTACTTCCTCCAAACTATAACAACTATATTATTGTGCAACAAATGACATTACACAAAATATAAAATGCATTGTTTTAGTATGCGACGGCGCTGTCTAGGCACCTCACAGTTTTTTGCATTTAATAAAAAAAAAATCAGAAAATAATACAACAGAAATGTCGAACATATTTTTGATTAATGTTACTAGTTTAAAATGTGTTTAAAATGCTGAGAGGTTTTGCGTTGGTCGCAGCTGTCGCGTTTCTGTGTCGTCATTTCCTGTCAGAGGAAGAAGACGTCATCCTACAGCCGGGCAGTGAGTTGTAGATAATATTATTTCTTAAAGAACCGCGCATCAACGCTTTAAATCAAGCTGATTTCGATTTGTTTGAATGAAATCCTCCTTCTAGTGAATGTGATTACAGTGAGCTTCTGTTTTAACATCGTTACGACGCGGTATTTAGGACAGAATGTGCGCTCTCGTGCATTCCAAGCACGAACTGCTTATATATCATACTATATTTCATGTATTTAATATGTTTATTTACTGGTGTAGTTAAAGTTGTCAGTGTTTTCAGGTTGGTAAGGTTTAATTGGAAAAAAATGGTTGTGAATTGTGTGCAATATATTTTCCTTTTCATGCTGTCAAGAGATATTGAGAGAAGTATGACAGACATTATGATTTATTAATATGTTATTAATCTCATGAGGACAATAGTGGCATCATGTAATATATAATAGTGATACTATATTTTATTTCTGTCAGTTATTTAAAAAAACAATAGAGTATCTATTGAGTAAATAGAAGTGTATATGTCACGCGTCCATCTAAATCCAGCACTTCTGCTTTTATTTAATTGTAATAAATTCGATATTTTCATTATATACATGTTAAATTGGCTGCCTACCACACTGCTCTACAGACATCAACGTCATTTAATCATATACGTTCTGTTTAATCACATTTAATTATATTTAACCATATAAATAGTTCCAGATTTGTTTAGAGTGCTGCAGAAGTAAACTAGCAATGCATCAAAAGTTTGAATATAAGACGTGCCGGTTTAGAGTTCAAATTGTGTACAAGATGTGTTTTAACCCTTGCCTTTGTTATGCATATTGTAGCAGTAACGCTTTTCTGTTTCTTCACAGAAAGCACTGTGATGTCGTGGATTCGAGAGCGGGAACTATCCTTTATAGAAAGGCTCACTGCCAACATCCTAAAGGTGCTTTTCTGAGGAGCTTTAAAGAAAACCGAATTGAAATAATCACTTTCTTAAAGGGGTCATATGATGCGATTTCAAGTTTTGCTTTCTCTTTGGAGTGTTACAAGCTGATTGTGCATAGATAAGATCCCTGAAGTTGCAAAGACTAAAGTCTCAAAACCAAAGAGATATTCTTTATCAAAGTTAAGACTCTGCCACGCCCCCCTAAACCGGCTCGTTCTAACACGCCCCCACATATCTACCTCACTATGTGGAAATATTAGCATAATGCTGCCCAAATGTGCACGCAAAGAAAGAAGGCGTGGTTTCAGTAACCGCAGTTAGTGTTGAAGCAGCATGTCAGGGAGACGCTGTGTGTTTTGTGAACCTAGGAGAGGAGGTCATTCTGACTTTGCTATGACAATCTGGCGCTTCTGAATCAGCTACTGTTTTGTTATTAGTTTAAGTATTTGCTATTGACTGTTCAAATGCGGAGTTTTGCGCATCGTGTGTGTGTGTGCGTGTGCTGTGTGTGTGCGTGTGTGTGTGTGTGTGAGAGAGAGAGAGAGACAGCGTCACATC